CATGTCAGACACTGACACGTCAGCAGTGCCACGTCAGACACAGTGACACGTCAGCTACAGTGACACGTCAGCAGTGCCACGTCAGACAGTGACACGTCAGACAGTGCCACGTCAGCAGAGCCACGTCAGCAACATGACGGGCCTGCCAGGCCAACTGGCCAATGAGCCCATTGCCGACTACAAAAAGCGTTTCCAGGCTCAGCTCGCTGCAATCGAGGCTGAGGAACAACGCCAGCTGGCAGTCAAGGCTGCCCAGCTACAGGCTGAAGAAGCGGCAAAAGCAGAGAAGCTGCGGCTACAGGCCAAAGCAGACGCAGATGCCCAGGCTCGCCGCAAGGAAGCCCAGGATCTGCTACTGCGGCATGAAGCCAACAGCATGGAGAGACTCAAGTACGGGCACTTGGAACCGAACGGCGACGAGCCAACACCGGAAGAGCAGCATAAGGAGTTCATGGCCAAGCTCGTGAGCAGGTTGGTTTACACGTGTAACCACCTACAGTCCGAGCTGGCGAACCTCTAGCGGGCCGTGCGGAACCATAAGACTCAGCACGAGGATGCCACACGGGCACTGGACGCCCGTGTACTGGGCCTGGAATAGGCTGTACCAGGACTAGATGCTGGGGCTTCCAACAGTGCATCCTCTAGCCGCCGACTAGAGGAACGCGTTGACCACATAGTGGCAATGCTATGAGACATTAAGTGCCTTCACAGAGACGGCCACCATCAGCCAGCGGTTCGAGTTGCTGGACACCAAGATCAGTCAGCAACAGCAGACCGACCACAGCCACAACAACAGCTCGGCGAGGCCATACAAGATGCCGACGTTCCGGATCGAGAAATTTGATGACTACACACATCAAGACCCGGTCGTCTGGTGGCAAGGATTTACAACGGAGTTGGGGATTCACTGGGTCCCTGACCATCTGTTCATCAGTGCTCTGTTCATCAACACCAAGGGAGGATGTCAGATCTGGCTCAGCCACATGGCAACCATCCACGGCGTCCAGGTTTCAGATCTATACAAGAAGGTCTCCTGGGAAGATATGACAAAGGAATGGAAGAAGCGGTTCATTGTTGACGACGCCCCGACACTCGCCATCAACCGCATCTTCACGATGGCTCAAGGGAGCACACCGACACGTGACTGGCTCACGGATTGGCAGAAAATCGTGGCAACGCCCGATTTGGACTTGCCATTTCCGCATCTGCGGCGTGAGTTCTACAACAGGTCATGCGCCGCTCTCAGCCTCGCACTTGGTGATTGCGAGCAGTACAGCACTTTTGCAAAGATCATCAACAAGGCGCGGGAGGTCATCAAGACCAACAGGGCGGCTACACACGAGAAGTCTACGTGGCAGCCAACCTATGTGGGGAAGGTAAGAACTGGTCCGCGACAGCAGCAGTTCGCTGCAGTCCAATCGAAGAGTGTCCAGCATCACGTGAGGGAGATAAAGTGGTTGTTGTCTAGCCGCGAAGCAACAAGCCCCGAGTGAACGGGAAGGCGAAACCAGCATCGCAGGCCAGAAACGGACAGCCAGCACCACCATGGGTCAAGTTCGGCTTGACCGACCGCAACCATTACGGCTGTTGTTACCGGTGCAACAACACCAAGCACAAGACCTCTATTTGTCAGGATCAGGCCAAGGAGGATGTGCGGCCTCGTCTTAACTCGGAAAACTGAGTTGCGCAGGAGGTGAGGCGACTCCACCTCTCACTCCGCCAGATTCGGCCGCCTTGCTAGCGGCCTCCTACGCATCTGGGGAGGATGCGCATGTCGCAAGTCCTCGGTACACTTACGAGGATTATGCTGTCCACTTGGTTCCACCGCTGGACCAACCGCTCCACGTGCAACACTCTATCGCATGCACGGTTTCATCACCATCGGCAACCGATTCGGCAGCTTCGCCGTCATCTACCGCCGGGGATTCAACGTCATGGTCAAGACTTGAAGTGCTCGACCCGTTGACTTTTGAGGATTTCCAATGGATGCCCCTGCCCCGTCCGGTCGTTTGCCGAAACCGCATTGCATTGTGCTCAAGGCACAATTGCGAGATTACTTGCACATTGCAGTACCGACTCCGTTGATGGACGCCGGAGTAGAGGTTCTCGACCTTCACGCCTACATTGCGAAGATCAACCGCGAGTTCAAAACGCAATGGTACGACGACATCGACGCACCATTGCTATATATACGCATTCAGATTGGAGAGGCGACCTGCAGCGCTTTGATTGATTGCGGAGCATCTCGCAACTACATGAGTCAGAACTTCATGGTACGCGCCGGTCTTGGCCCACGAGTCCGAAGGAAGTCCCAGCCCACGCAAGTCACATTGGCAAGTCAATCGACCGGTGCATTGACAACGTCCCAATGTACTTTGCCCCTCACGCAAGTGAGGCGGTGTCCTTTGACATTCTGGACACCAAATTCGACATGATCTTGGGCATGTCATGGCTGCGAAGCGAGGATCACCCGGTGAACTTCTACCGCCGCATCGTTCACATTCGTGATCGGAACGGAGTACTAGTCCCATGCACGGTAGCTCCTCCTCACCCTTCAGTCAGCTGTCACGTGGTATCCGCCGCAAGCATGCAAGCCTTCATCATCAGAGACGACATCGAGGAGATGGGGGTGTGTTTTCTCCACGCCCTCCCGCCCCAAGACGCGTCATCGACGGACTCAACTTCGGACCCACGCATCACCGAACTTCTCGACGCCTACAGCGACGTGTTCGAAGGCCCGCACGGAATAGTACCGGATCGACCCATCCGCCACGAGATCATCCTCGAGGACGGGGTCGTACCTCCACGCGGTTGCATCTACCGAATGAGCGAGGAAGAGTTAAGTGTGCTTTGGGCACAACTCGACGACCTTTTGGAGAAAGGTTGGATTCGGCCTAGCTCATCGCCATACGGTGCTCTTGTTCTCTTCGTCCGGAAGAAGAACAAGGATTTGCGGTTGTGCATCGATTATCGCAAGCTCAATGCGCAGACGATCAGAAACACCGGCCCTCTCCCGCGCATCGACGATCTTCTCGAGCGATTGGGCGGCGCCAAGTTCTTCTGCAAGCTGGACCTCAAGTCGGGATATCACCAACTCGAGATTCGGAAGGAGGATCGCTACAAGACCGCGTTTAAGATGGGATATGGGCATTTCGAATGGCTGGTCATGCCATTTGGCCTTACGAATGCCCCAACCACTTTCCAAGCGGCTATGACAACAGAGTTTCGACACATGCTGGATCGATACGTACTTATCTACCTCGACGACATCCTGGAATACAGCCGGAGTTTGGAAGAGCATGTGGAACACTTGCGCACCGTTTTGGAGCGGCTACAACAAGCCAAGTACAAAGCCAACCGCGACAAGTGCGAATTTGCGCGGCAGGAGCTGGAGTACTTGGGACATTATGTGACGCCGCAAGGCATCCGTCCACTTGCGGACAAGATCGAGGCCCTACGAGTATGGCCCGAGCCCACCAACACCACGGATGTTCGTTCATTCATGGGATTGGCGGGCTACTATCAGCGATTCATCACCGGATACTCCAGGATTGTTGCACCTATGACGAGGTTAGAGTCGCCAAAGGTGTCATTCGTATTCGATGACGACGCACGCCGGTCATTCCAAGCACTCAAGACGGCCATGCTCATGGCACCCGTCCTTAGCATCTATGACCCCACTCTGCCGACGCGAGTGACTATGGACGCTTCCGGCTATGGCATTGGGGCAGTCTTGGAACAGCACGACGGCGACGACTGGCACCCTGTGGAGTATTTCGGCCACAAAGTGTCTCCCATCAACTCGCTTGATGATGCAAGGAAGAAGGAGCTGTTCGCATTCGTCATGGCTCTCAAGCGATGGCGGCACTTCCCCCTTGGTCGTCGTAGGTTTACATGGGTTACGGACAACAATCCAGTGACCTACTACAAGACGCATGATACGGTGAGCAGCACGATCGGACGATGGATGTACTTAATCGACCAGTTTGACTTCACACCGAAACATCTTTCCGGCCTCTCAAATCGCGCAGCAGATGCACTCTCGCGAAGACCTGATCTTTGCGCTATGACACATCATGCCTTCGCATTCGACGAGGAGCTTCAACGACACTTTATCCGGGCATATGAGTCTGATTTGAACTTCGCCATGTTGTATGCACAACTATCTTCGGATCACCCGCCGGCCAGCCACTATCGCATTGCCGACGGGTACTTGCTCCTCCACTCGAGAGGCAAGGACTTACTATGTGTCCCACGCGACCGCCGTCTTCGGACTCGCCTCCTCGGTGAGTATCATGATTCGCGACTCGCCGGCCATTTCGGAGTCAACCGCACTATTGCAGGGCTTCGACAGCGATTCCGATGGCCCGATCTCATTACTGATGTCACTCGGTATTGCGACTCTTGCGAAGTTTGCCGACGCAGCAAGCCCCGCAACCGCAATCCCTACGGCGAGTTACGCCCGATGCCTATCCCACGGGAACCCGGGCTCTCCATTGTCATGGACGTTACCGGTCCATTCCCTCGCAACCGGCTCGGGCACGACGGCATCCTCACGGTTGTGGACCGATTGAGTAAGTACGCGCATTTTCTCCCTTGCAAGTACTACTCCACGGCTCCCGAGCTGGCACGCCTCTTGCACACCGGCTGGATTTGCGGCCATGGTGTACCGGAAGACATAGTCAGCGACCGCGACACTCGCTTCATGTCGGCATTTTGGACTGCACTCATGCAGGAGTCCGGTACGAAGATGAAGCCAAGTTCGGTTCGGCATCCACAGACAGACGGGCAGACGGAGCGGGCACATCAAACCGCCCAAATGATGCTTCGTACGCTCATCCGTCTGGACCAGAAAGATTGGGTTGACTGCCTCCCCGACATCGAGTTCGCCTACAACACTTCGGTGCATCCGGCGATCGGCGTGACTCCATTCGAGTTGCACCACGGTGGACGGAAAGGCCGGATCTTCGCCGACCTTCTCCTCCCTCGACCAGCCGACATTGACGCTGCCTGCTCTCCCGCTTCCGTCCGGAAGTACAGGGAATTGCTGACTCAAGCCCGCGCGAACATGCAAAAGGCTCAAGTCCGCATGCAGCAGCAAGCCAACAGGCGTCGCGTACCATGTCCCATCCGCGCCGGTAATCTGGTTTGGGTCTCTGCGGAAGAGTTTGCACTAGAACAGGAGGTTTCACGCAAACTGTTTCCCAAGTGGTTTGGACCTTGGTCTGTGACAGCAGCCGCAGGCGATGAGCCCAATGACCCTTCATTTGTGATCAACATTCCCGAGCATCTGACGGTCCATCCAGTCTTTCACGCCTCGAAGCTGGCAACATATACACCAGCTAAGAGCGACGACTTCCCGGGCCGACGATCGCAGGACCCTCCTCCTATGGATGGTCATCAGGGAGTTGACCGCGTCATCACGGATCGCAAGTACGGCAGCAAGCCGCGTCAGTACAAAGTTACATTCAGAGCATGCGATCCCAACGACACTCGGTGGATTTCAGGAGCAAATTTGAAAGCATCCGCACCGTTGATCTACGCGCACTACGAGCGACAAAGATTACCTAAGGGACCTCCACGACCAGCCCCTCCCACCCGAACTGTGGTCCCTCCCTCAGACAGACAGCTTCGCCCTCGCAGGTAAGCTCGGTCTTTCAAGGAGGGGGGGGGGTGTGGCATACTGTGTGGCCACACGGGCCCTGCAGGGCCCGTCTAGCACTTTCAGCCTAAAAGCCTAAGACTTAGGGCTTACAGGCCCCCGTCGTTCAGCCTGAAAGCTGAAATACGAGGGTCTGCAGACCCTACTCCGTTTCAGCCTATTTCTGGGCCTTTCAGGCCCAGAGGTTTTCCAGCCTGAAACGGAGGGTCTTTTTCAGGCCCTCATTGTTTCGACCACCCCTAAGACTCAAGCACGAATACAGGGTTTTGGAACAGGCCAGAAATAGCCTGTTCCTCACGAGCTTGAGCAGGAGCTGCAGCTGCAGCCCCTGCCTCCCTTCGGCATTGGCAAGAGCAGCCTCCT